TTCTTGTGTGGTGGTGCGTTGGTATCTCGACAATGGGTTCTTACCGCTGCACATTGCTTTTACGTTGAAAGAAACAACGCAATCAAGAAATGGTATGAACAAGACATAACAGATTTCACAAAGTAAGTTAAGCTGCTGATAGTTTTACAATGTTCAAGTCAATTTTTCAAGACTAAGTACAAATGCCATTTTTRTCCCAGGTATAAAATCAAAGTTGGTGATTATGATTTAAGAAGCTATGAATCATCAGAACAAGAACATCAATTCCAAGAAATCTTTGTACATCCCGACTACAGACATGATCCCATGTATGAGAACGATATTGCCTTAGTTAAACTAAACCGTGAAGTCATTCTCGGCCCGTATGTGCGCACTGTTTGTGTTCCTGGACCTGACCTGGACCTCGCCAAACCAGGTACAACAGGAATGGTTGCTGGATGGGGAAAGACTGAATTGGGTTATGGTTCTTTTTTTCTTCTCTACTCCTCGTTTACCATCGAGACAAACAATGCATGTGAGATCAGGGCAGCAGACGTCTACTACAACAAGACAGTAGCATTTTGTGCAAGTGATGTCAAAGGGAMCAGCACCCCATGTTACGGTGACAGTGGAGGTAGTATGGTACGAAAGTTGTCCCTAAATGGAAAACATGATCGATTTGTAAACAATTGGTTTAGTCAGTTGGATTGGGTGTAGCCCAGGACATCATTCAAGTTATGCGTACTATACAAGACTGCAGCCATTCTTACCGTGGATTTATCATAAAGTCAGTAAGTATTAATGCTTTGAGCTCTGTTGAATGGCAATCAGAAAACAACTTTAATACTCGATCAGATTTGCTAAGGTAAATTTGGTCGGATTAAGTATTTTCACGTGTATATACGACTTTTTGTGGATGATAAACGTTTTTTTAGATTCCACTTGTATGGGCCCTGGTAAGCCTAGAAATGGTGTAGTTACTCCAGTCAAAAGGGTATACCAGCCAGACGAGGTCATAAGGTTTGCGTGTGACATAAAATACACGAGAATCGGAAAATCAGATCTGACCTGTCAACGAGATGGAACTTGGAATGGATATTGGCCACTTTGCTCAGGTATATGTCATATAATTGTATGATGGTGGTGATCATCACGTACGCGTAATGGTCGGTCTACTTCACTGCCCTGACCACTCAGATAAAGGTGTTCATTGATTTTTATTTTTAACAGCGCCATGCCCAAGACCCGCACAACCAAAAAATGGTATCCAACTCGGTAACAACTTTGCTCATGGACACAGCGTTAGGTTTATATGTAGTCCTCGCTATAGACGTATTGGCTCATTTGTTATTGCTTGCTTGAATGGAAAATGGACCAATAAAACTCCAAAATGTGCTGGTATGTATACAGCAATTTGAAATTTCAAGATAATGGCAGGTCAGTGGAATTCGGGGAAGGGGAGATCCGGGGTAAAAATACCGGTGATGCTCGTCAGAAATTTTCAAAACGACCCCTGAAAGATCCCGGAAGTCTTGCAAAAAGGGCGTTGCTGACTGATTTTTAACCCCTAAGAGATTGTGAAACACAAATATTGAGAAACATAAATATCGATGCGCTCTATCTCTTCTTCTCAATCACGAATTTTTAMCCTGGGAGTGGAATAAAAGACTATCAATCACTTCTGTATGAAGTGGTATTTTTGCACTGTCTTTCAATTTTTTAGCTCCATGTCCAGATCCTGGTACACCAATTTATGGTTATCGATACAACCATTCTTTCCTACATGGTGACCAAGTTATGTTTTCTTGCGAGAAGGGAAAGTCTTTGATTGGAAGTAAGATTATTACATGCAATGATGGACGATGGGATCAGACTACACCAACATGTTCAGCAGGTTAGAGATCTATAAAGTATAGTAAAATTTGTGTTGTGTTCGTCATCTCTTATGTTTATAATGAAGTGGCCACTATATCTAAAGGATCCTAGTTTTGGTGAATATTTACCTACATGACACTAAAATGAAATTGATCGATCTATAAAAGCAAATTTGATTTGCAATCACCTGTCTTGATCCAGGAAATCC